GCCCTTAAACAAGACCCCGATCCCACGCCGTATATTCTTTGTGAATTCTTGAATTCTGAAGACTTCCATGAGGGCTGCGCAACAAACACAACATAGTAGAAAGAGGCATAAGCCTGTGCCAGAAATTGGGAGGCATGGGGGTGGCAAAAAAAAGATGGGGGGAGGATGACTTCCCCGGCCATGAAAATTTGAAGGGGGGGTTACACTATATATGTGACTCTACATGTATCTGGTCAATGTTCATGATTTTGAAGCACATCTGTGCTATGCATTCAGCATGGCATCTTTATGGCTTTTTAATTGTTTTTCATTTTTGAGAGTTCCTGAATACATTTTATAAATCGAAAGTCTGAAAAATTCTTGACAAATTTGCTTTAATTTTTTTGCTTGTCACCAAAATGTTGGAGATGATTCAATTGCCCATCCCCACCTCAAATTGGGGGGGGGGGGTTGAGACATGTACATACCCCCATCTTTCTGGGATTTACGGTAAAGGACCACAAGCAGGTGGGCCAGTTGTTAAAAGTTATGGGGAACCGTGTAGGTGTCACCAATAAAATCTGTTACACCTATCAAAGCCTTTGTCATGCATTTGTACATTTCAGGTGTTTACCAGGCGAGCGATTACTGTATGCTCAAGAAGTACAATCAATTGTTATTTTGCCAAATTTTTAAGAGCGCACAGCATCCAGGCTGTGATCATGGTACACAGAAAGTTCACCGAGAACCGCTGGCCATGTACCTTTCTGACTAGACAATGAATACAGCACGTATACCGGTATTTTGTTGAAAACCTAAAAAAGTCAGTAGTTCTTGAAAGAACATGACCACAACTTAAACTGCATGCAGCTGATTACAGTGATCTTCAGAGATATTTCCAACATAGAAACCGGCCATTTATTTCAAAAGTCAGTGAAATAAACTTCAGTACCCCAGAAGCTTACAAGTCACCTGAAGATTTCGAAGAATTCTACAGGAGTGAGGAAGGTACAACGAAACCACTGTAACCTTTGGAAAATTGATGCCTTGTGGAAGTCTTGAAGAATGTGCCACTGTTTCAAGTCGAAGGGGGAGATTTTTATTAGATTCAGAAAGATAGCTAGTGAGCTTGATGTTTGTTGAATCTTACCATCAAATGCTCTCCAATAAAGATGATCCAGAAGGAGAAAAGCATAGCATAGAAGGCTCCTTGCTTGATGTCACTGAGGAGGGTCATGAAAGGAATGTCGACCCAGAAGGTTAACCACTCCAAGGGAACTGGCAGAGGTAAGCAAGAAGGCATCAAGGTGAGGCTTTCAGTAAGGATGCAAAAATCAAGAGATTAAATCTGCATTGTACTGAGAAAAAGGGTCCAATTTGCTGATGTCTCTGTATAGTACGGAGGCAAACTGGTTCAACAAAGATGGCACCTTCATCATGGTGTCCAAAAATTAGTTCATAAGACAAAGCATAAGAATATTACAGATCTTGCTCTGATTGTATGACATGAGTGATTTCATTACATGTACTCTAGATCTCCTCATACAGGAACCCAAGATACATTTCCTTGAATGTCATCAATACATTGGTACTACTGCCACAACCAAAATACCGGTAACTTACAAAAAAGGCGCCACCAAGAGGTTGCAACAGAGAGGCCATTTTCAAAATTACATGTAAGAGTTGGTAAAAACACTGAATTTGTTGGAGATTTTGAGTTTTGAAGTACAGACATTATGCATTCTACCACCAAAACATAGTTGAAATGGATACTCAAAACCATTCTCCAAATGCACTGCAAAAAATAACATCTCCACGTCAATCTGTTGGTAGCACACTGTCTTGTGAATAACCCGTAATGCTATTTCCAACAAAGTTAAACCCTATGCACTATGAAGACAATGTACAAGTGTAATAAAGAGACAATGAGTTCATTAACACTTACAGTCCTCATTCCTCCAACAGGTGAAGGATTGAGGACTGTTAAGGTTAAGAATAGCATAAAGCCAGCTCTGTTCTGTACTGCATGAGAAGCATTACTAATGTCACTGTAAGTGTACAGAAAAAACTTCCTACTCACAATTCAGGATGCTCATGATGATGGCCAAGGCAAATATGGTCCTGGGCATGAAAAGAAAGAAGTGATTGTCACACTGAAGGTATATTAGATTGTTACCTCATCCTAGGCCTTGAGACTTGCAACCAATTGCCATGATCTGAAGCGTCAAGGTCAAAACTGAAACCAAGACCTTGGGATTTGAAAAAGAGATTGAGACTGGTCTGGAAACTACCAAGGTTAGCAGTGAGCAATGCAAGTATATGGAGTACACTGTCTTCAAAGACGGGCTTTGTTTTAAATGTAAAGTTGTGAAGGTTTTGAGTCATTCAAGTGATGCAATTTAAAATCATTGAAACAGTGCAACTGGACTAGAACTTGCATAAAAGGACGACGCAATCAAAAAACTTCATTTCTGTGCTTATTAAGCATTTACGTATACGCTTTTAACTGGGCTCGTTTTGGAGGCAAACTTTTGAGGAAAATGATTAATCAGCTCTGTTAAAAAGATGGTAACTTCAACTGACCAGGTGCTTACCTCTCTAGGAGGACAGATGGTTTGCCCTGGGTCTTAACGCGACGCCAAAACCACACGGTGACAAGCAATACAAAGGGAAACATAAATGTCTTGAGGGACATCCAGACAATGGTGAATCCTCCGTTCTGATGAATAATCTAGTCAGACAGAAGAAATTCAAAACGGTCAGTTATTAGGAAGTGTAATAATTTTCTGTTAAGATGATCTTCAGAATAAAAATTGAATTCATAATAAGCCTCAAGTTGAAGTGCACTCTCACTGGCAAAGACGTGACTGGCTGATGAGAGGTTTCCTAACTGGGCTTGTTCACATGCCAGTAAAACATGAGAAGACTGTACGTGTACATTCAAACCATTGATTTGTGTTATTATTGGTGGAGATCAATGGTTCCAACAGAAATTGATCGCATATGGTCAGTGTGTTCCACACCAATGGTGCATTAACTCATGCATGCAAACAGTGAGTTCTTAACAAAGCACTGTTACAGCTATGCGAAACACGTCCTCTCTCGTTCCTGCTCAAAACGGACTGAGAACCTAAATCGGAGGTTTCCAGCAAGCTTAGCCAATCAGAATGAATGTACGGATCAGAATCATACATGTCATGGTATAGATCATGGAACCAGTGTTTGCCTTGCATGTACATGTACATGTTACGAAATATACAGGTGTGATCTCAGTAACTTCCACTTCAATGCAACATTCTAGATACACACCACTACATGCACATCCTGGGGTGAGCCAATGTTGATATTAGTCAGGGCACCAGTTTCCTTGTCCTTGGTAACCGGCAACCTGATGTTGATCAGGTAATGTTTGTGGTGGACTGATCCCAACTCAAAAAGAGGCATGGGCTCACAGCTGTAGGGGTAGCCAATATGTGTGTCTGTCTGTACAAGAGATAAAAGAAGGAAAGACGACACCATCCTTGTTAAGATTATGTAGATTAACCCTAACACTCCTCAGTCCTCCAACAGGTGAAGGATTGAGGAGGGTAAGGGTTAAGGGTCTGTTTGTTGCACATGGATTCCATTGCAATCCCAGGGCTGGTTTGCGCTATCCATTAGGTAGGTTCTGGTGTCAGTGAACCAATGACTAATCACTGATCATGATCTGGATCCAGGTCAAACAAACAGGCCCAATGAGAAGTGCAAATTCCGTGTATAGTCTGCAAGGTGACATGTACATGTAAATGAATGAATGGGATTTGCAAACAT